GATAACAACTAAAACAAAACAATAAGAGAACAAAAATAATACAATAACAACTCAATCACGGAATACTATAAAACAACAAGAAAGGCAATAAAATTCACAAGTAATATGAATCCCAGATTACGTATTTTGACTATTATGAATACATCATAATCTGACAAGATTAAAAAGCTGTACTACCGCAACGATTGAAGGGATTAGGCAACGTTTTAAATTTGGAAAAAATAGTGACATGAGAATCGTGCCGAGAGTATCCAACCCTGCTTCTCTACGTTCTTTAAGATGAACACTTTTTATTGTAAAAGTTATTAAATCTTTTAAGCTAGTCAAATACTCATAATTTTGTTTAACAGATAGCTTAAACGACAACTTTTAAGTGTAGCAGCTGGTATTTAAGTGGATATGTAGCAAATTAGCCGTCAGTAATGAATGGAGTATAGGTAGATGATTGTATATACGGATTGCCATACAGTACGCATTTTTTGACGTCATTACAAGTCTTTGAGTAGGAATGCGTAAGTCATCTCCTTATCTTCCTCTATAAACAAAGTCCTTGTTTTGTTTAAACATATGGATATATTTTTTTTACAAACACTGCCATTTCAAATATGTATAAACATGAGAGTGGCAAAATTTTCAAAGATTTAAATAAAGGTTTCATCATCATCAGCCCTTTTACGTCCCCACTGCAGGGGCTCAGGCCTTCCTTATGGATGGTTAAGGAGGATGGGCCATGACCCTCCACGCTGCCCCAATGCGGATTGGAGGGAATTAACGACTGCAAATGCAGCCGGGACCAACGGCTTAACGTGCCTTCCGAAGCACGGAGTAGCTCGAGATAATATCCTCGGATTTTATAACATATCCTCACGGACGGTTAAGTAAGATGAGCCTTGCCTCTCCACGCTGGCCCAATGCGGATTGGAGGGTATTAACGACTGCAAATGCATTCGGTTTGTTACAAGAATGAATGAATGAATGAATGAACACTTTATTGTACTTGAAAATAAAATCAACATAACAAATTAATAACAATAAACAGTACAATTGGCGCTCTTGAAACGAGACGAGGAATGATTTTACAAAACGACTGTGCTCCTTGCCATTATGCAAGGGAAGTAAGAGAGCACCTCAACCAAACCTTTCCAAGGAGGTGGATTGGATGTGCCGGGCCAATTGAATGGCCTGCACGATCACCGGACCTAAACCCCATAGACTTTTTCCTATGGGGATATTACAAAGAAGTTGTTTATACGCGTGAGACAAACTCCGAAGCAGAGCTGCGTCAGAAATAGCGTGAAGCAGAAGAACAAATAAAGGAAAACAGATATGCTTTCATAAATTTAAAACAAATTTTTTTGAGGCGCTTTAGGTTATGCATTGAAGTGGGAGGTAGATATTTCGAAAATTTATTGTAATAAACGTCTTTTTTTTTTAACTTGTATTGATTATTTCATTTTGAACCTAAAAATTATCGAAAATGTAACGTACTGAAAATTATACACCACAAATTTGAAGGCGGATTACAGTTAATAATAGCCCCATTACCTATGACGTTTTTGTACTTTTCAGAAAGCTTAGAGTCTAGTGAAGTTTTTAAAATTGATTAGAAGCTATGAAACTTACCTTAACCATTTTTAATTTAAAACTGAAAATTTAACTCTTGCTCGCTGAAATGTAATTTATTCACTTGATCAAAATTATCGTAACATGCACCAATGCTAGGAGGTTAACTGTTATGCATGTGAAAGAGCCGTTTATTAAGATTACGTTTTAGAAAAAAAAAAAGTTTATTTTTTAAGTAAATACTATCGAAATTTCCTTTGAAATAAAAAAAAAGTCATATCTCGAACATTATATGGGGCGTTTTCGGATACCACTAGGTGGTAGCAATTAAAAAAAAAAATGTTTGACGTCGCCGTCTGGACCATCCTTTATATTGACATGCCTATCAAGGTGTATATTAGCGACGCGAGTAATCGCCATCTTTCATTCATTTCATTTTCATTTTACATGTAGAAATTTATTTATTCACTTGACATTGGCAGAATTGTGCGAAATGCGCAGATAAGCCATTAATAAAAGAAGAAGAAGAAGAGTATTTAAATGTATTTTTAAAAATAAATATAACATAGAGGATTGATCGAATGACGTCTCGGGTTTTTCTTTTTGTTTTTAGTTTGTCATTTTATATACTCTTTTTCAAAAGTCATTAAATTTTTTCCCTTCAAAAAACTACGTCGTTTTCTTTTGTATTTCGAACTTGTATTTACTGCGAGACCCGAGTCGTCTACAGTGCATGTGAATATTAACTGAAATTAATGTATTTCGTTTCTAAGTCACATATATGCAATGCAATGAAATAAATATGCGAAATTTTAAACAAAATTAATATAAAAAGTGAGAAAGTAACTAAAAGCCGTTTGACAGGATTAAAACTTAATTTAGTCTATTGTTTGTGTTATAGAAGTACCAATGTTCATCTTATTTAACTGTTGATTGACAGTTTTATGAATCGGGGCTATGGTATGATCCAAATGTAGATATGGTATGATCCATAAGTAATGCGTTTCAACTTGAAAACCCTAGCGTATTCGGTGATTTTTCAGTAGCCAATAAATACCGCCGAAACTGACCTCCACCCGCACCACAAATCGGTGAGATGTATTTGTACCAAAAATGAGCCGATGCACTCTCCAGTCTACTCCATGCATTGTACGCATGGCATATGGAGAGTCTTTGTAAAAAGCAGCCCTTGCTAAGCTTCTCTCCGGTTCATCTCAGATTTCTCACATTAGTTTTGCGAACCGTTGGCATAGTTTTCTAGTATTTTGTAACAGCCTACATTGTAACAGATTTTGATATTTATATTTATATAATTTGACGTGTGAATGCATAATGGCATATTGCACATTAAAATATGGAAATACTGCACATAAAAAACAAGCTGAATTCTTCGTTCCGCTCTTTGTATTTGATTCCAAACCTAAACTCGGATGAATCGAGTCAATTGAAGTTACGAGCAACCAATAGGTTGGTTCATCACAAATGTTGACATTAACCAAACATCTTTCCTTAACACGTAACATAATAAATAACTTAAACTTATGATTTCAATAAATTAAAATCAATTTGAAATTAACATATTATAAGAAACATGAAACGATGTCATATTTATTAATTTTCGATACTCAATTTACTTTTATTACGATACTCAATTTACTTAGAGTTGAAATTCTATTAATTCGAGTTAAGCAAACGCAACTCGATTAGTACGTACTAAGCCTTGAATAAATTTCTTTTTTATTTGTGTAAAGGAAACTGGAAACTAACATAATGAAAGTGAGCATAGAGAAGGTTTTTTTAAAGTTATGGAAATTAATAGAAATATTGTGTGAAATTATTAAAATTGGCATTTAGCTACGGTATACAATAATATTACCGTGAAATAGTTTTTATAAGTAAAATACTTATGCCGTTGTAGGTCTAGTAATTTTTCATTATAATATTTAATAAAAATTCTGAAAACAATAACAGCTAGGTAAGTTAGAAAGAATAGGGCTTATTAATCAGCAACAAAGGTCATAAAAACGAAAATTATAGTAGAAAATCCGTTTATTATCTATAAACTTACCCGATATGTATCAAATATACTAGGTATTCGTCCAAATAACATGACTTCTGGCTAAAATGACGTTAGTGAAAAGTATAAAGTGCAAATAAGTTTTTCTTTCAAAATTAAGAATTAATAAAAGCTATGATCAGTTATTAAATCTTATAGTCATAATTAAATCATCTTAATAAAAAATCAGCAATTAACAAGAAACGTCCGTTTGAACCAAACAGAAAGTTTATAACTTTAAATTTCAAAATCACAAAGACACGTACAGTTATTATATTATCGCTTCTGAACTTGCATGTCGACGGCGGACATCGATCCAGGAATTATGTTAATTCGTACGGTGGGTATATGCTTTTTTGCTTCTTACAATAATATTGTCAATAATAGATTGACTTCCTACTCAACCTACTCTAGAAGTCTGTTTTATTGAAATATATTACTTTTTAAGTAATATATTCGCTCAAATAAAGATCAATGAAGCGATGCCTGACTCATGTGTCAAGCTTGTCAACGGGTGTTGCCGGTGGGGGTGAGTCTGCACTGGACTACTTAATTTTGTCAATTTTCTTTTATTATGAATATTGTATATTGATTTGATTTGGTTGATTTTGTCAATAAGTATGTAGGATTTCTAATATTGTAATGGAAAGTGACTTCACAGTCTAACTAAGTCACATTCCAATAAGACTTCTCTCTGTGAAATAACACATAAAGCACTTCTTGCTGAGTTTCTTGCCGATTCTTTTCAGTACAAGATCTCCAGCTTTAGTTTTGTTAGCCATTGGCAAAGTTTTCGACTTTCACAAGTACTATGTAACAGCCTAGACTGAATTGATTTTGATATTTATATTAATATGATTCGACATGTGGATGTATAATGGCACATAAAAAAACAAGCTGAAATCAGCGCTCCGCTTTTTGTTCTTGATTCCAAACCTGAATTCGGGGTGAATCGAGTCAATTGAAGTTAAGACCAACCAATAAGTTGGCTCATCACTAATGTTGACATAGAAACCAAACATCGTTCCTTTACACGTAACATAATAAATAACTTAAACTTACGATTCAAATAAATTAAAATTAATAGGAAAGTTAGATATCATAAGAAACACGAAACGATGTCATATTTATTAATTTTCGATACTCAATTAACTTTTATTACTTCAAAAACAAAATTTTAATGAATATCATAGACAAGATCCAAACATCGCTAGTGACATCTAGTTTGATTTCAAGAACTAATTTTTGTTTTTTAAATGCTTCCTCATTCATAATACTGAGTCTATGGTTCGCAAAATAAGACAATAGTTTTACAACAGAAAACAAAAATAATTTTTATTAACGATTTATCCGAACATAAAGAACACAATTAATTAGTTTGATGGGAAATACGCATAATAAAAGTGACAGGAGTAACCAGCGAATAATAAACGGAGATCGCGATCGTGACGAGCCAAGAATAACAAGTCAGGTAGGCATTAATGAAATGAAAACTTGCTAATGTCATCCTCAAACGAAAATGCACTCACGTAATTTTTATTTTACATTTTTTTGCTTTAGATTGTTCATTTTTGTATATGTTTAAAGTCGTTCGGTATTATTTTTACTGAAACTCGTTCATTCTTTGTTGTGAGTGTACCACCTGACGATGTAAACATATATTATTATTATTATTGTGACTGCAGCTTAGTTTGTTACAATTCGTCGGAAACCTCAGTGGTCGCTCCCTCGTCAGCGTAACTAGTAACCAGTCTGTATACAGCGCTTCAAGACCTTGGTCTCGTATATCTCGACGAAGGTTGGTACTTCATTAGTAAATAATTAAATCGGTCCATCTTGTAATTAGCATGTGGTATTTTTTGTATGTCCTAACTTGTATAACCAAATGTGATTAATAATAATCATTCAATTACCCAAATAAAATTAAGTAAAAATAATATTAATGATTTTGTAGTAGAGGTTTTGTCACAAATTTTATGTCACTTTTGTTGTAGATGGAATGATGCAACAATAAAAAATCCCCTGGAAGGGAGTAAGACTGCATGGCCAGTAGCTCACAAAGAATCTATCTTCCTGCCTGAATTCCCTATCACTACTGATTTATTACAAAAGAACTTCCAAATTGATAATATAATCGCAAATGGAGCTTTTGGCAAAGTATACAAAGTGACAAAGTCCAGTGATAACAAGGCATATGCATTGAAAGTGCTTAGTAAAGCCCAGGTAAGGTATTATAAGTTATCTTGGGCATTTTATTAAAACCTTTTTTTAGTAAATTCTAAGACACAAGTTCACTTAAAGATAATGTAAGTTTTCAGTTGATATCATCACTAGTACTCATAGCATATCCTTCACTGACATCAACTTCTATATCTAGTAATTGTAACTACAGTTACAGTAACAAATGAAAACACCATTATCAATGTTACATAACTATGTAACATTGATAATGGTGTTTTCATTTGTTTGTAATGGGGTCACCCATATTGTTATATTAAACAACAAAGAAAACCTGTTATTGCCTTTGACAATATAAATAATGATTACTATGCAAATATGAGACAACATTATATGGGAGTAGTAAAAGCCCTTGTATTATGGTGAGTTGAAACAATGAAACTTCTGAAACATTACCATTGCCATTCAGAAATATTAACACAGTGGAAGTAATCCGGATGGACATGGACACACCCTGAGGGGAGATGATATGTATAGTGTGGTGTTTATTTGAATTTGCTAAGGTTAGCCTCAATTGAATAAATAAACAACATTTGTTAGTAAATGCAATATAATATTTAATATCATAAATCTGTGCCAGTAATAAAACCAAGGTAATGTTCAAGCCATTGTCAAAAACATTAGTATGAAACTTAAAAATAGGTATGTATGTATCAACTTCATCAGATATTAGTTATTACACTAGCCTTCTGCCGGTGACTTCGCCCGAGTGTCTAGTTTTAAGTCCGGAAATGAGAAAATTAAAAAAGGGGTTGAATTTCATATTTTATATTAAGTTGTAAAAACAATAAATTGTGAATAAACAAAAAATGAGCTCTCACACATATAAGAAAAAGTAAACATCAGATTGCAAGTGATTAATTGATTTATTTATAATTAAATTTTAAGTAATTTAGATAGTAGGACTGATTTAGACCCAGTGGTGGATTTATCAGCAGGCTGAGAAGGCTGGAGCCTAGGGCGCCAAATTTAAGGGGCGGCACATTTGACTCAACTTTTTTTTATATATATTATTTATACACTTTATTGCACAACAAAGTAAGATATACACAATGTGCAATAGAACAGCGATCTCCATACTGAATACTTACAAATGTAATCCATATATGAAAGATCCCTAAATGCTCTGTAAAATATAGGTACTTATGTGATAATGAATTTTTATAATATTCCAATAGCGTTTCAATATTGCAATTTAAATTCTATAATTATGTGACAAATATATTTTACATTTAAATATTTATTTTCTACTAGGTACGTATGTATTAACGTAGTCGTTTTGAGTTGAATACTATATTGTCGAATGCAATAAATTCAATAAAGAAATAAACTTGGATATATCACTGTTACGTCTCAACTACAGGAGCTCAGACCATCCTTATGGGTGTTAAAAGACGATGAGCCATGACCCTTCACATGGGCCTAATACAGATTGGTTGGTATTAACGACTACAGACACAGTCAGGCCACGAAACCCCCGGTCATAGTTTCAAATCCTATCTTATAGTACCAGGGACAAAGAGGATTTTTAAAACATTTTTTATTAAGAATATTTTCCAGTGAAGCATCTAGGAATATAAAATTGATAAAATATGGTAGCAACGTGGAAGTATTTTTCAGGCATACTTTACCCTACCTTATAAATCGGTACATACTGCTGTTTTTTGCTCAATCTTATGTACTCTTCAATAAATCGTGGAATGTAAAAATAATCTAGAAACTGATAGAACCATCCCCTAAATTACTATCATACTAATAATGGCAAAAAGCCGATGTAATGAAGACTACAGAGCTCAAATCATAAAGTTCCCATTGCATCAATAGAATAAATGTAATGAATATGATAGTGAACTAAACTAGCGTATCAAATTTTAGAGGTCAGTAGGAGCGGCAAAAATTAAATTAATAATAGCCTACGAGCGACTATTTTATAAATCCGCCACTGTCTAGACCCGAACTTGAATTCACTCATGTTACCGAATTCACGTCATTTAGAGTAGATTCTCTATTGATTCTTTTTTGTATAAAAATACAAAACAAAATTGATTGGATTATGTCTTAGATATTCTATTCCAATGTAATTTCACTTCACTTATACCACGAAACGTTATTACCAATTCAAGGTTGAGCGGACGCCGCTTTTTGAAGTGAACTTTCTGAAGGGATACCTGAGTGAATTAGAATTCGGGTTTAGTTTTTTACAGAATCGCAAGGCAGAAATTCTAGTATTTATGACTACTTTAGACCTTAGTTTATTGTATACAGGACCTGAATGACTTATCCTTATCAGATTGTGCTTATCTCTTTGGCCTCTTTACCTAATTTGCTTATATTTCCTAATGAAAATTATATGAAATGATGAGCTTGGATTTATTATTGTCTGGCAATTGTTATAATGCAATGCTTTTACTGTATATAATCTGTGGTTGATCTTCACTATATTATGTTTTTATTCTATCTGCAGATTTAAAATTCAAGTGATTTCCAAATGTATTTTATTGTTAAGATTGTTTTGTTATAATACTAAATACTACTTGTATTTCTGTGGTTTAAAATTGTTTTATCATTCATTAATGTAATAAATTAATGCAAAATTGATCAAATATAATGAAGCTATATTATTAGTGGGTAAGATAGGCTCAGCTTCACTAATTATTTATTAATTTTTATTTTCAGGTAGTGCATGAAAATGCCGTGCGACAAGTGAAAGAAGAAGCTCGTATTCAAACTCTTTGCGGCCATCATTCATTCATTGCTTGTGCAGTTTCCCGGTGGCAGACCAAGAAAAGCCTATACATTGGTGAGATTATTTATCTAAAATATTCTGTATTATGTAGTTTCGTTGTGAGTCCATTACGGGGAATTTTAACCTTTTAATTGTCCATTGTGAAACATTACTTATAATATACATTTTTAAAAGGACATTACCGGTATAAATTTCGAAACCTCTCTCTCTTTCTTGGCATTCAAATCAAAGAGCTGCTGCGTGATATTGGGTGTGTTGTATGCTTGATTAATTCAGAATCAATGGCACATGGCACAAAATAAAAAGAATAAATATAGATTTTCATAGGGCTACATAAATTGTAAACTGTTGACAACAGCTGTCAAGTCAAAGTAATTTTTTTACGAATATTTGTGAGAAATCTAATATATTTTACTGCATGTAGGTTAGAAATCACTTATTTCCTTATAATTGGTGTCCGACAATTGTTCAGGGTGACTGGTATAGAATGCCTTAGGCATTAAGTCTGTCTTTTGTGTTTTTTTTAATGCAATTAAGAATATATAAATAAAGATTATTGAGAAGTACTAATTTAAACTATTCGATACTAATATGATGTAATATTAGGTTGGTTCCTCTAATCAAAATGGATTTTTTTAACAATATTCTTTAATTTCAACTGTTTAAGTGGAGTTTAACATTCGTTTCTATAGTCAAGAGAAGTAATTACTTGACAATCAGCTAGTTGCACAAACGTCATTTACAATTTTCATTAGTTTAAAGCGGCATTATCCATACAAATCAGACATTCATTAGAGCTTAATGGCGTCATTAAACCTTAATGGACGTTTGTGCAACTGACAGGACATGTAATAAATGAAGCAAATATTTTAAACCAAATAAAGAAATATTTTGTAATAGAGAAAACTATTATTAGCTATTAACACTTTTTACTTCATTCAAACCTTCTCTCGACTACAGATATAAAGCGTAATGGGCAAGGAACCCTAAAAAATTTGCAATGTATAATAAGTATTGTTTATTTACATAATATTGCTGATATTTCTTGTGCCAAATACTTTATATACCTACATAAGTGAAATAAACTGTCTGGCATATGTTGTATTGGTGATAATCAGTCGAATGCCGGCTGATTTCTTATCTTTACTCTAAATAATAATAACGCACTGAGTGTCAGGGGCGTTTTATTTAAATGACAACTCTATCTTCTATACAAGTATTTAATGTAATTTTATAATGTATATGTAAAATATAATAGAACTTAAATATATTCTAATCGATACTAATATCATAAAGAAATAGTCTCTTACTCGGTTTGTTTATAGTGGCTAATCTTCGGGAATACCGATCCGATTAAAAAAAAAAAATTGCAACTATGGAAAGCTACATCATACGCGGGTAACATACGGGTAACACAGGGGAAACTAAAGTTCACTAGTATATTGTTTTTTGTTTTATCACTCTCTATATAAAAATATTTGGCAATAAGGATGATGACAAATTTTTAGTTTTCTGTCCGTCAGGTAGATTATTAAATAATATTAATATTAAAAACGTATTTAAATTCTTGCGTAAAATTGCGACGATTGATTGATTTGAAATGTCGCATGACGTTACATTTTTGTTCATTTTCTATACAGTTGTAACTTAGCGAGCCCCAGCGTCTCAACTTAAATTCCTATTATCTAAGTAATTTCTTGTTAAATTGAAGATAAAAGAAATACGACTGATGAGCTAAATAGAATTTCTTTTTTTACCGACGCATCATCCCTGTTTATAGGAGATAAAAGATAATGTACTTAAAGGCCTTTATCACAACGTCCTTTATTACAACATATACTTAAAGACGTTGGCATTTATCTTGCGATTAACTAAAAATTTAGTTTTTTGGATAAAAAAAATAAATATCTAATAAACTGTAATATAAAAATCACTTCGTTGCGGAAAAACTGCTACGTAGTTATAAAATGAAGAAATAAATCTATTATTCTTATCAATGGATTATCAATTCGTAGCTGTGTAATACTCTAACTAAAGTGTACTACAAAACATGAAGTTAAATATATAAATATTATCGTAGGTCAGGTACATGTTATTATTTTTATCTACGCTTCTTATTGCCGCTACTGAATACCAATGATGGTGTTAATTTGAATTTGTATTGTCCGCAGAAATTAATTGTATGTTTAACAAAAATTACGGTTCATTACCATCTTTGTAATGTAACAACATGTTGGAAACATTGGGAAAGTACATATACTTTATCGTGATGAGTATATAATTTGTTATTAATGTGAAAAATCAGGTTTAATTTGCTCTTGCGTAATATAATCCAAACAAGTGTCTATACAAGTTCGACTTCTATAATAAATATTATAGATTCTTGAGCGTATCTATAGGTCGCACATGATAGCCGACATATATTTATAAACACTAACAAATACTCGTAATGAAGGTGTCTGTTCGTATTTGTAATAGATTTATTTATAAAAAAAATCGTCAGTTTCAGAATACATTCCTGGTGGAGAGCTGTTAGCTTTACTAGATAACTATGGCAAGTTACCTATGGAGTTAGTGAAGATTTTTGTTGCCGAGATTGCGATCGCTTTAGGTAGGAGAATAAATAATGTGCTATTCATTTATTTCTTTTTAGGAAGTTTTCAAAGTAATCAATAAGTTTCTAGAATTGTAACAGCTTATGTTCATATATTTACTTTTGGGTGTCGCACTGATTTTTCTAATAATCGTGTAATTGTAAAATTGTAAATATAGTTCACAATAATTGTAAAGGAATTCTGTAAAGTAATGCCTGATACTATTGAATGTTGGTCTTTTATGTGCAGATTTCCTCCACAACGCCGGTGTGATCTACCGCGATTTGAAACCGGAGAATATTCTCCTCGACGCAGACTACCACATCAAGCTGATTGACTTCGGTCTTTCCAAGTGGCTCTCGATCGGAGCGCGGACCACTACACTGTGTGGAACGCTCAAATACATGGGTGAGTCGTACACCATTTAGACGGCGATTACTATATCGAGAATTTAGTGTGCCACTTGATACATTACTCGCTCGGGGTGAAAAGATAACCCTGTGCGTGACAGCGGTTAGGTGATTTTGCGGGCGGTGAAAAGTGTGTATTCGAGGGTGATTATGTCAGTATCGAGTACGGCGGCCTCTGGCCAGTGACCGGCATCATGAACGCGCGCACTATACCCTTCGAGCTGACCATGGAGGGCCGGCAAGTAGACGAGGTCGTCGCCAGCATATTCCACACCGTCCTGTTCCATCGTTCCAGCGGCAAGTTCACATACAACAACGAGGAGAGTTACTCGATCCGCACCGTCAGCTACGTGGATGTGGACTGTGACTTCATAGACTTCACATACGTCTGCTGCGAGTCTGACGCGCTCGGTCGCGATGTGAAACGGGAGATATCGGACTTCTCGGAGCTCCTCCGCGCTGTGGACAGGACTTCCTCACCCCCCAGAGGATCGATAAGTCTGGAGTTCTTCCAGAAGAGGCGCGCGCGTTGGCCATTTCAACCGGAATGCGTTCCTTGGGAGGTGTGGACGGTTTACTGTGAGCTGACCGAGCGCAGCGATCACGATATGCACAGCAAACACGAGAGCGTCGTCGAGATGCTCCAAGACAAAATTGTCTTTATAACAGAAATAATAAATCGTCACGAATATGTGCCAAAGATGCCTAGTCGCTCGGACGCCGATTTGATCTTTGACACGTCTTACACAGATATACAACCGTACCTGTTCAAGATACATTATAATCTGTCGGGGGTCCCACCCGTTTCGCATATCAACACTGTCCGTAAATTGATACGCGATACCCTGTCATTGTGATGCCTGCTGCATGTTCTTGCGTAAAAGTTTTTTTTTAATGTTCACTGTTAGGGCTCTATTCCACTATTCCACTCGGTAAAGATAATAGCCGGGTTCTCCGTAAGAACACAGTGGTGTATTAGTTTATAGAAATGATGTGTATGCGGCGGGTCTTCATACGATAATTTTTATTTTTAAGTGGACAAGAACCCTTAACACGTTTTATCGTCTTATGAAAGATGGTCTCGTCAGGCGCGCGCATATGTCCGTCTATACCTATTAATCGGTTACGTTAAAGTCGGCTTACTAAATTTTACTTTAGTAAAACCATGGTGATAGATAAGTACCTATTAAAATTTTATTTTTTATTAACGAAGCTCTTGTAAATATAACCATATATTTTCTATTGTTTGTGATCTAATATTATAATTTTGTCTTTTAAAATTAGTATTCATGTTAATTAACATAAATAAGCAACTTGAGAATGCCGTGTTTTAACTTAAATATGTCTAAGCAGCACTTATTTGTACTTATAATTTTAATATGCACAAGACTGGCGTTGTTACACGCTATTTCATCACAACTCTTGTTCCAATTATTGTCTTATGATACCTAGCTAATACTACATTACTTTATCAATTGTGATGTTTTATTTTATACCATTTCACAGAATCTATGTATTGGGATGTAATTATGCAAAGTGTTTTCAATAGGGATGGTGACTGGGTAAAAAAAATCAGTAGACAATGGAAAAATGTTGGTTTTCGTTTTATTTTGCTTCAATTTAACAAAAATGGCTTAGATACAGAAAGAACATAATGTATCGCCTTAATTTATTAATTACGCGATAAATAACAAACGCGTTTCATATTCTTTAATAAGCTAGCTGACTAACAGACAAAAAAAATCATCATCTTTATTGTATTAAGAAATGTTTGCAAAAAATGTTAGGCTATATTTTAGTACAAGCTTTATCTTGTACTGAAATATAATATTTGTATTGTTAAAGATATTTAGAGTATTGTTTGCATAACTACGTCCATTTGAAAAATAGTGTTTTTTATTCTCAATTGCGTGTTACAAATGTAATATTGATTTAATTATGAAAATGATTTATACTAAATGTGTGTATAGTTTGCTTTAATATTTGCCTGTTGTAATATTAGTGGTATAGTAATTTAGTTGTAATGATTTTAGAGCTATGACTCGGAAGGCTGGTTGATGTGTCCACACAATTATAATGATTTATATAGTGTTTGAATTTGTCTGTCGTTTATGTATTTTTAAGTTTTCTTTAAGTACCTATTACTGTGTAGGTTCATTTAACAATGCACGTTGTATATATAGGTGATAAGGTTTTTTTAATGTATACCTAGTTATGGTATGTGTCTAAGATTTTTTCATATAGTTAATGCCACCAATAGAAATATGAACTCGACTGAGTTGGTGGCATATTTTATTATGTGTTAAGGTGGAATGTCACGGTTTCATTCGTTATGGCTGACAATAGATGGCGCTAATATGATTGAATGTGAAAATACCAGGATAATATATTTGAAAGAGTTGATGGGAATATATATCTTGGTTGTATCTTTAGCAGGGATGTAAGGTTTTTAAGATGTATGTGAAGGGAGTTAGGGATGTAACCGCTGATGTTGAAAGGAGAGTGAATGTTGGGGAAAGTGTAAATGAGTGTTGGGAAGACATCTTGGCAGCAAAATTCTGAGCCGGAAAGCGCAGTCTGTCCATTTTACATTAACTACACTGATTTCGATTTGGTTGACATCGGATTCAAATGCATTCGTATTTGATTCAAACCGATCTGTTAAAAGTACACGATGTATTGATTAATACGTTATTGAATGTTGAATGTATTTTCATTGTATACAACTTTAATCAATGTAGTTATGATGTAGGCCTGCTAATTTATCTTGGTATGGGCTTATGACGTAATATTTCTGAATATGTACACAGAAAATATATTAGTCAAAGAAGTATGGTAACTAGAGTCATTTCTGGAAATAAGCACCTACGCTACATTGAAGCTTTAGGGTTTTTCTTTTAGGCATTTTTATTCAGATTGTGGACATACTCTGCTTAAATACTCGTTATGACAATACAAGCGGAACTGTTTGCTTAGGAACCGTGTGTTTCTGTGAATGTATGCATTCGACCGTTTGTTCTTAGTTACTGTACTGCTTATACATATGTATTTTCTGTACTATGGTTATGGTTTATTCAGGTTTCAAATATTTTATTATACGTATTCAGAAATAATGGTACCTACATACCTACAAAACAATGGAATATGGTTATTCTCATCAATGAAACAAGTTATAAAGCGAGGACAGCCCAAAGGTAATGGAACCGTGACGTTTCACAATTAAGGTTATCGCACATCTATCAGAATGGAATACGACGGAGGCCGTAAGAAAGGTATCGGCTCCTTCGGCTCTGATTGATACGCGATCGCCATTAGTCATTGCATTCGTTGGCGTTACGCGGTTGATTGGCGTCGCATTCGGCTGTAATGTATAGTATGGTCTGTCGACTATGTTTTTTTTTTTTATATCAAAAACGATCGCTTTGTGATATTGCCGGCGAGAATTAAAATGTATTTTTTTTTATTGATTGTGTGAATTTAGATAAGTGATGTTGAACCTTCGCAAACGGTATGCGTTGATAGAAATATGAATTGTGTATGTACATAAAAATATATATATACAGATTTCTTTTGTCTCAATTTAATAGGTCTTCGAATAAAGCGGTTGGAATATTAAGAGTTTTATGGAACTTATTATTCATGAATGGAGATGATTATGAATTTTAATGTCTCATTTATATATGTCGATACGGGTCGCACGTGGGCAGTGGGCATATTTCATTGGTCGATTCGGTTAGTTCAGTTACCGACCAATGAAAATTAGCTACGGAAATCGCACGTGCTTTCTATCGATTAATGTAAATGAGCTATTATAGAGCATAAGTGTATCGTAATTATTTGTTAGAGTATTAGATGGTGCATGGAAAGTCTCATTAATTCTTAAGTTTATTATAAGGTAACTAATTTGGAAATTGTTATTATTACACACTCTGCGAATGATATCGCTATTAATTAAAATTAAAAAATATATTTTCCTTATTAAGATACTAAAGTAGACTTTGAAAGCTTATCCTTATATTATAGAAAGATTTGTTCGTGTAATATAATAATTAACACATTATTCTTATAACACTAAACACTTGGATTTCTTTTATATCATAACGATTATTGTGACTCTAACTATGAAAAAAAAATGTGTACCTACCTACCATAATATATGATTTGATAGAAAAATTAAAATATAATCAGATTTTTATGGTTTATTTTTAGTATAAATAAAGAAATTATTGATGTGTTAGTTTCATTACATTTGTACACATTGAATAAGAAATGTGATATATTAAGTACATTCAACATTATAATCCATGGTTATGATATATGGTACACACGGCAGTGTGTCAATATCAAATTCCTGCATTCAATCTTAAAATTTTATTTACACTTATTAAAGTTTATAATCAATTGAGGAAACTGACAGTTTCGGATAAAATAGATTGTGTAATAAAGCACACAGAAACGTCAAAAACAAGCTCCAGTGATTTGTTGAAATTTTTTGTCCAATACTTTGCCAGTTTTTTTTAACTAGTTTATTTTAACTAGTTCCTGATGTTATATTATTTCAGATAAATCTGATCATTTCACTATGCGAAAGCGATCAGATTTTATTGTTTGCCTGCTTGATGTCAATAAATAATGACTCTTGAGATCAAATTGATATGTGTTTTAGAATAATCTATGACGTGTAACTGTTTGATATCTTTATATGCGAATGTTGACTGTACTTAGTTGGATTATTAGGTTTTTTTTTTATGTTATTGGTGTTTGCTTTCTGTTGTTGTGTTGCTACAAGTCGATTAACTGAAGCTCTAGAATTAGAGAAGAGGATTAATTTAGAAATAAACTGAAGTCGGATACTTCTATCTATTTATATCTTCACGCTGTATTCCTTGCGGGTTAGACAGAGTTACTGTACCGCTTAAACTCATGAACGGCTGGTCCGATTTTCTGGATTAAATTTCGTCACAGAACACTATGATAATGTTACGGTTAAAGATAGATAAGACATAAACCGGCTAAACTTAGGTTTGGTTATGTTAGTTTTTATTCTTAAGTACTGGTAGTAGAGGTGTAATGTTATTATAGGTAGTTGTACTCTGATATTTGTATATCGGATGTAAATAGTGGTGGTGGAAATTATCTCCTGAAAGGGGTAGCCTCGATAGTGGAATCATTACCTTACATCGAGAGCGTTGATTTGAAATCAAGGGAGAGTAGGCAGACCTTAGGAGAGACAGGACAGGACTACAGAAGACAGAAAGGGAGTAAGAGAATTTACAGATACGAAAGGAAAAGAGTAGTTGGAAAAAGTCTAGAGGTGAGGGATTAGTACTTCCAGGAAGCGTCGAGTTTAAACCAGGAGAAGACAGACGACCGGAGAGTGAAAGGAAGGAAATAAGCTTATTGATAGGAAAGCGAAATTTTTGCGAGTTTGGTTTAGAAGGAGAGACGTCAAGTAGATTGACTATGCTAGTGCACTTAGTACAGTCATGCTGAGACATCATGCAGTAGTATATGATCTCATAGCTGGACCTCTGCAGATAACTCGGCAATGCGGGATGATATCGCACGCGTATTTGCTCGCAACGGTCCGATCAAGAGGTGGAGATGGGTTGGTTATGTTGAGTTTATTTTTAGCCGTAACACATATATCAAAACATTGAAGGAATAAGGTACCCAAGGTAGATATTTAGCAATGTTGAAAAAGTGTAACTTGAGTATCCTACATTTTTCATTACAATTTTCCGTTTGTCTAATGTAGTTAGTTGAGATACATCTAGTAGCAAATTATCAGAATCGCCTTTTGCTAGAGCGAGAAAGATAATAATGTGTTGCCTTTCACCTCGCGGCCTGCTATTTT